ATGATGAAAGCCATAAGAGTTATGATTAAGAGCAGAAGAATAATCATGCAAAGGTAAACAAATGAAATTTAATTAAGCATGTGAACTAGGATTAGATGTATATAACTAGGATTAGTGTAAGTTAAGAATCGGTCCTCAAAACAACAATGTTAAACAAATTGTGATGGTATTTTAATAACTTATACAACTTGTTAAATAGACAATGGATGTGCTAATATTAAATCTGTGTTTTTGGGCAGATGTAGGTTTACATAGGTTTGGCTATTCTTATGCTTATGACTATGATGCTTCATTCAAAGTATAGTAATTGTGCAATTATATTCACACTAATAGTCAAGACTTGAACATGATACTTCTTATGATATGTAAAATAACTGAAAAATTATATCCATTTCAGTAGCTAGGAATTTAACATGATTCTTTTGGTTGGTTTAACTTGACTAAGTTCATACTAAGTGTCCCTGCACTAGTTTACAAAGAAATTCTTCTATTTGCATCACAAGTCAAGCGTACATAAAATTGACAAACAATGTTGATAGTATAGGTGTAGAAGTAGATATTTCTTATCGTTAGAGAACTAGGGAAACTAATAGTTGTCCAATATAGGGTTGAGTGAAGTGCCTATTTGAACCTTTTGACTAGCATACGAAGTTAGATATATGACACTCAATGGAGTGTCAATTGCAATCGATTTCATCCATCGGCGACATGATTATTATTCTCCACTATCTCGTTGGTGCGCACGACGTAATTCGCACAATAAATTCTTAGGCACGCAAAGTCTTATGATATGCGCGCATGACCGATACGCACAATAAGATTCCAAATATTTATCTTGTTACTTTCTCTATTTGTTCCAACCTTGAAGGTTCCCTTATAAATATCGTGTCTCATATCAAGTATCTCAAACGTGGAGGATTTGAGTTCAAGGTAAGTTCTAAGACATCCTAGTTTTAGCTATTTACTTAACCATATTAGCACATGTATCTGTTGAATATATCAAAGCTCGAAATTAATTGTTACATATAGGATATCTTAGTATTGAAATGTGAATTTTTCACTTTGTTGTAGCTGATCAACAATGAAGATGTCATTTGTGCTCGTTTTTACATTTGGTTTGGTCATCATCCTCTCCAAAACTGGTGTGGAAGGGAGAAGGCTTGAGGAGAATCCCTTGGATAGCTCTCTTCGAGGAGTTCAGGGAAAGGAATACGTGCATGCTGATAATAAAGTTGTGTTTATCTCCAGTAGTACTGGTGGAAGCAACGACGAGGAGGCCAAGAAAGACATCAACAGTATTCCCGGAGAGAAGAAGGTAAAAGCTGCTGCAGATGCATCACTTGGCTATTCCTTTGGTGCCACGAAGGATGCCGAGAACGACAAGATGTTTGATGTTAGTACCATGTCACGCACTCGACCCACGGACAAGTTACCGCACCACAACTTAAGGGATTCTGCTAAACGCCCTTAAGACTATGCTGCTACCATGAACTGCTATCTTCTACAGTAGTATATGGGATGTGTGAGATTTGCTCAGTATATGGGGCAAATGCTTTCAAGTACTTATTGCCATGTATAGCTCTAGATCATTATGTCATGGATGGCTGGGGCTTTTCTGTCAATGTACTGAACTACTACTGCATAAAATAAAATGTCCATGGCTGCCTTGGCTTGTTATATGTACTGTCCACATAGTACCAATTCCTAAGAGTGATAGATATCTATGAGGCATTCACTAAAATTTTTAGTTGTTGGTCCTTTACAAAGTCAGACCGCTCCTTTCCAAATCACTTGCAATTTTTTACGAGGAAGAGCACTTGTCGGTCTTCTGATCTATGATACACAGGTAGGTAGCAGCTAGTTAATTCAGTATGCATGATGTTATAGGCATTATTTCTTGTTGTGCATATGTTACATGTAAAATCTAGAGTTTTTTGTGTGGGGTAAACCCTATATTTATGCTAACAATGTTGGGACATATCTCCCTCTCTCTCTCCTTGTCTTTATTTACCAAAATAACCTAAGGGATGGACTCATGATGACGGATGTTTGATGGCTATTATGAACCATGATTGTTATGTATGAGCATAAAAATAAATCATAAACATGATATACAAATAACGGTTGAGCATGAGAACATAGAACATTTGCAAAACACATAACAAGTACATAAAATAGTGAACTTAATCAAGGCCTAAGAAACAAGGTAGTTTACTTGCAAATGGTTCCTCCATGATTCTTCTAGGGTTTAGGGTTTTGATGTTTTGCTATGCCAAATACTGAAAAATATATTGGGATTGTCCATTAATTAGATTTAAAAATCATTTAATTCATCAAAAACAAGTCAAAGCATGGTCCATAATGTATGCTAAAAAACCATTATAAGTTAATCATGACTTGAAGTCTTTAAAGGGGTTCATTGTAGACTCTTGCACAAGCAATGTGACCTTATCTTTGGACAGCCACCACTTTAGCCATCCTAATCAGCATAATGATATCTACACTTATGCTTGGTTATCGTTACGACTTTGATGCTTCATTAATTCAAAGCAATGAACAACAACAACTATGTAATAATTGAACAATTATGTTCATTTTATTAGTTAGGAACTCAAAATGAATTTTCTTTTCATGATATATAGAACAATTGAGCTTTTGATTATTATCATTTTAGATTGACTAAGTTCATGCTAATTGTCTTTGTTCTTTTCTGACGAAGCTTTCCTATTTGGATTACAATATAAGTATACTTGTGGTGGGTTATTTTTCCTGCTCATCTCTAAATTGATGGGGCACATTGGCAAATAATGCTGATAGTAGAGTTCTAGAAGTATATATTATTTTATCATTAGAGAATTAGGCAATAATCTTTGTCCAAAAGATCTCAACTTTTTAACAAGCATAAAGAGTTAGACATAGTTAAACTAATGTAGTCTAAACTGCAATCATTTTGTCCATCGATGACACGATTATTATTCTCCACTATCTCACTAGTGACATATATAATTAGCATAATAATTATCTTATGCAACCTATGTTTCATAGGATATGTGGGCATGATCGAAAGGCACCATAAGATTCCTAATGTTTATCTTGTTAATTTTTATTAACTTGTTTAAGCTTAAAATTTTCCTTATAAATATTGTGTCTCATATCCAGTATCTCAAACTTGTCTCGGAGGGAGCGAATTCAAGGTAAACACTAAGGCTCATACTAGTTTTAGCAATTTACATAGCTATATTATTACATTTAGATGATGAATGTATCAAAGCTCAAAATTTGACTGTTATATATTAGGATCTTAGTATTGAAATGGTCAAATTTTGCTTTGTTGCAGCTTATCAACAATGAAGATCCCATTTGCACTTGTTCTCACAATTGGTTTGGTCATGATCATCTCCAAAACAAGTGTTGATTGTAGAAGGATTGAGGAGAATCCCTTGGATTTCTCTCTTCAAGGAGTTAAGGGAAAGGACTACATGCTCGATCATAATAAAGTTGTCTTTGGCTCCACTATTGGTGGAAGAAACAATGAGAAGATCAAGAAGAACATTAAAAGTATGGGAGAGAAGAAGGGAAAAGCTACTGTAGATCCATCATTTGGCTATCCCTTTGGAGTTCCAAAGAATGCCAATGATAATAATAGAAATAGCAATGCCAAGAACAACAAGTATGATGGTGATCCTTTTGCACACACTCTGGGTATGTCAGCAGATTCACACCACCAGATATCGATCGATGAATATCGAAGGATGTTTGGTGATCTTCCTAAGCACCCATGAAGCCCTGTTGCCCTTAACTGTTATGTGCTACTGCACTATAGGATATGTCAAATTTGCTCGGTGTAAAGAGCAAATGCTTTAAAAGTAACTTGTGTCATGGATAGCTCCACAACATGTAATGGATGTCTGGATCTTTAGATTAATGTCCTACACTGCTAAATATAATAAGATGTAATGACTGGCTTGACTTATTATATTTTCTATGCACTCAATCCCAGCTCCTAAGAGAGAGAGAGAGAGAGAGAGAGAGAGAGCTATGGCATTCGCTATGTTCTTGAATCCATAGGAAGAAAATAGTACCAAAACATTCTATCTCTAGTTCGTTTGCAAAGTTAGACCACTACTTCCCAAATCACATGAAATAATTCTATCTTGTCATCCTTTGATCTTACCATATCTTCTAGGATAGACCATAAAAGATCTGTAGCCACATGTAAAACCCTAAAGAGTTTTTCTTTCAGCAGTATAAACCCTAATGCTCCCATCAAGAAAACCTAGTCAAGAAAACTATGCTAATTTGCTGCCTCCATGAAGAAGACATGTAGATTAATTAATGCAAGGGAATGGAGGTGTTTAAGTTGGAAGATCGCAATAGGTTTGGTTCTTCTTGAGAGAGAGGGGTTTCTTCCTCGATGAAACATGTACACGTGGGTCGTAATGATTAAATGGAGGATTCGTTGACGCTTTAAAGTGCGCTGATGTCGAGGCATGCGGCTCGTCATGGAATCTGAACCAGATGAGACAAGCTCTATGATTGATGCCTGCAGTGCTAATTAAAGTGTGAGGACCATATCATTTTACCTACCCATGCAGCTTCTTCATATATATCTATAGAGATGTTAGGGTTTGTGAGCCTATGGCCAAACATATGTAGGCATTATCTTGTGGGCTCTTAAATTACGTGTCATGTATTACTTCTTCATCGATGGCTGACTGACACTTGCCATCCCCTTCTTTGTGGTGTAATCAAAATGCATTGTGTGGAAGCTACATTTTTCTCATTCCTAGTTTATAGAAAGAGTATCATCATATTAAGAGACACACATAAGTCAATAAATTCCTGTCTTTGAGGCATAACAACCTTAATATATTTGTTATTTATAAGATCTCTTTGAAACTACAATTTTCTATGGGTATAAACTTTTAACCATTTCTTTTGCACGTTCATATATAGATATCTATCCCTCAATAATGATATTATTTATATACCCTTTCAAACATATTATAATTTTATAGTTGTACATTTGGATGAGGGAATTATCAAGAAAAATCTTACTTTTTGAATTTTTCCAAAGAGGTATTTCTTTTTTTTTTTTCAATTTCGTAGTTCAATTATGGTGCATATCACTGAATACTTAAAAGTAACCAATTTCAAATAGACAAATGAAGCAAAAAAAGAGGTTCAATTTAATCAAAAGCAAGGTAACTGAAGCTCATATTCTTTCTTTGCCAAACTTTGATAAAGTTTACTACATGGGTTGAATTTTTACAAGCCTATGATTTTACCATCAAGCATAAATCTGATATTTAAAATATTATTATTTCCATGATCATTGTTTGCTTCATGATGGATATTTCTTCAAGACCAATCGTCTATGTGTTTCTCCGTGTTCTTTAAGAGACTCTATCATGATAACGGCTCATGCTAGTGGGCTCGGATGACACTTTAGAAGAGATAAAACTTTGACGCTTATGTAAAAAAATTTATTGGCAAAAAATGTAAAAAGATATAAGGATGTGCATAAAACATTGCAAAGCTAATGATCCTTTCAATGTCCTTCAACATATTGGTGAAAATGCATACAAGATTGATTTATCGAATAGCTATGGTATCTTAAATACTTCCAATGTTGCTTACCTATCCCTTTATCATAGCGATTTGAGGATGAATCTTTTTCATGTAGGAGAAATTGAAACAGGAGTATCTCTATACAATGACTTTAAAAAATTTAAAGTGCTTACATTAGCTTTTTCGTTATCCATGAAAGAATCTTAGTGTTGAGATTGAATTAATATCAAGATGAACTTTAAAAAAATTATGAGGCAAACATTATATCATTGGAAAGCTTATTGAGTCCTTAGAGTTGAGTTTTATGATTCCTTTGGGTGATGTTTTCTGTATCTCTTAAGAGTTGTAGGACTTGAGTGATAAGCTTTTATCTATTTTAGTCTAGCATATTTGAGTTTTCTATCTCCCTATCCATCCCAAAAATTAAGTGTAAACAAGGATCACGTGTTATACGCAGCATCAAAAACTATGTGTAACCAAAGCCCATAGTGCATATAGAAAATGGAGCTACTGCAAGGATCTCCCTATCTATTACTCGTGTATATGTTGTATTGAAGTGTGTCGTTGTCTTCCATTTACTTAGTGTTGTCTACTATAACACCTCAATTTGTCTCATGTGGGCAAGATTAAGATTGACTTATAAGGGTCTAATGAGTGTATTACTTGTTATTAATTTTAGCTTAAGTATTTTGACTAATGATTTAGGTCAAACAAAATTGATGAACTAATTAGCCTATCATGCTCAAGTTATGATATTCAGTATCGTGGATGGAGTACTCATCACGATGTAGATCCACCACTAAGTTATGCCTCACATGCACGATGCTAGGGTTTGACCTGGGCTATGTCAAACCTTGAAGAGTACGTTAAGCCTTTAAATGGAGAAATTATAATATCTCGATTAGTCCTACATCAAAAGTGGAGTTAAGTTGAAGTTAATAATAATACACTTATTAAACCCTTGTAGGCTTATTTTGATCGACAGAAATCAAAAGCTTTATGTATGAAGTTAAACGAGAGGCAAAATACATAATCTCTCTTATCTACTAGAATAACTATTGTTTTATGGCAGACTTGAGCTTCTGATGACGTAGATGAATAATATCTAATGAGTAGATTTATGGCAGACTTGAGCTTCTGATGACGTAGATGAATAATATCTAATGAGTAGACAGATACCAATATCACACCAAAAAATGCACATCATCTTCTTAACTTAGTTTTCTTGGATCTGAGAAAATTCTTGACCTGGATCTCAGAAAAGAGAATTGGAACAAAATAATAATATTAATCCCCAACCAAAGATCATTACTTACCATTTCATTAACATAATCCGAAGCATTGGGTTTCGTGCAGGCCTAACGAGAATACTTGACAGCTGACATCATAGCCATGCATGTCATCATAGCCTTGTCAAATGAGACAAGTACTGACTTCATCAGTCATGTACTGTCTCTCTTTTGGTTGCACACGCCCAATGCCTTCTCATCTTCCTCCTCTCTCAGGTACACCTTATGTGAGTTAATGCTCAATCGCATTCTCACAATATGTGAGCATTTCTCATGTTATTATTTTGAGAAAATTGCTATATCAAGTAGTACGCTAATCATGGTGATAGATATTGGAAGATTTCATGCAGTGAGGCTTTCTTGATGCTCAATCGCATTCCTCCTCTCTCGTGTTATATATTTCTCACACAATCTTACTCATTCCGTGTGGATCTCTCGTAGCATGAGTTTTCTTGAAAGGTTATGGTACGTGCTATTTGGACTCTTACCCTAACCCGAAACAGTTTGTCAAGCCAAAAGAGAAATAGTTGACGACTCGCAAGGACAGTACTCGTCCTATAACTTGCTTTACTAACATGGCAATGATGTTCCTATCGGAACAGGAAAACATGGCTATGTCAGGTTTGTTCTTGGCGGACCCACAAGAACCTCTCAAGACTTGAATCATGCCAATGAACTGGTAAATTGAATTTGGTTAGGTGATAAATTTGATCTAAACGCAAGCAAAGGAAAAGAAATTTTGGTGTTGAGTAGTGTCTCAAATCTGATTCTGTCAAGATAGTTGTTAATGTCCCTCCTCAAGTTCATACACATATATATAAATAATATTGAAACTGGTATACGAAGCTACATATGTATGGAAGATGAGATTATCTCAAAACTTTAACTCTTCAGACATCAATCATAGAACTTGTCTGATCTGGTTCAGATTCCAAGACGCGTCGCACTTTAAAGCGTCAAGGAATCTCCATTCAATTATTGCGACCATGTGTACGTGTTTCATGGAAGAAGAAACCCCTCTCTCGGGGAGAACCAAAAACTATTTCGATCTTGCAAGCCAAACACCTCCATTATATCCTTGCATAAATTTATCTGGCATATGTTCCTCATGAAGACGTCGAAGCCTAGTTTTCATCACGAACAAAGTTCATCTTGTCTTCCAGCAAGAACTCTACTTTGGTATGCTTGTTAGAACTTTAGGGTTTACTCAAGAGGTTACATCAGAAAGCAGATGCATGGCTATGATGTCAGCTGCCAAGTGCGTTCTCGCACCTGCATGAAACCCTAGGTTTTGGATTATGTTAATGAAATGGTAAATAATGATTGGGTGATTGTCTGGAAAAAAAAACTTTACAATTTTTTTAAATAGTACGTCTTTTTAAAATTCTCAAACAGTGATATCTTATTTTAAAAATATTAAAATACCCTCAAAAGTTGCCATGCAATTTTCTGCCTAAAGTAAAAAAAAAAAAAAAAAATTCATCCAAATTGTATTGTGCTTTAAAAATATTGTATAGGGTTTTTATTTTAAAATTACTGTAAAATATTTTGAATTCAAAAACATTATAATGCTAGTTCAAAAATACTATATATTATTTTTTATTTCGAAAACACTATAATATACTGTATAGTGTTTTCAAAATAAAAATACTGTATAGTGTTTTCAAAACATGCCAGATAATGGTAAAAAATACTGTATGGTGTTTTCAAAATAAAACAG